CCGGAAATCTCACTCCTTACGTTCTTGTCACATGTATCGTTGCAGCCATGGGTGGTCTGATTTTCGGCTACGATATCGGAATTTCTGGTACTTAAAACTTCCCGATCACAATTTTAGTTACAGTTTCCGAAAGTTTCTTCTTTTTTTAAATGATGTTTATGTAATTTTCATTTATGATCAGGTGGTGTAACGTCCATGGATTCGTTCCTGAAGAAGTTCTTTCTGTCTGTGTACCACAAGAAGGAGAAAGACAAGACGAACAACCAGTACTGTCAGTATGATAGTCAAACGTTGACCATGTTCACATCGTCGCTGTACTTGGCTGCCCTCATATCCTCGATCGTGGCCGCCACCGTGACGAGAAAATTCGGCCGGAAACTGTCCATGTTGTTCGGCGGTCTGCTGTTTTGCTCCGGTGCTATCATCAATGCCGCTGCCAAAGCTGTCTGGATGTTGATTCTCGGCCGTATGTTGCTCGGTTTCGGCATCGGATTCTCCAATCAGGTAGACTACTGCTTCATAGTTTTGATTCGGGGTGGGCGGAAATCATTTTCCCTTTTTAATAATCGAGTCGAGAGATTTTGATATTTTACATGGTGTTTGATTTTTGTTTATTGCATGTTGTCCGTTAAGAACAAGGAACGTGCTGTCTGAAAACAAACAAAAACAAATGCCTAATGAGATTCTATTCTTCTTTTTGTTTCCAACAGTGATTTCCGCACTTCTTTTATTTATTTAAAAGATGTAAATAAGAAAACGGAAATCACAGTGTTTTGCTTATGATTAGAATTAGATCTTATTTTCCTTCAGATCTGAATTGAAATTACTTGGAATATGAAAAAATGGGGTTTCTAATATAGAACTGTTTCTGAATCAAAATTGGTTTCTAATACACTGTTTGGTTGCTGAGAAAATGTAGGGGAGAAAGTTTGCTAATTGTTTTTCCGTTTTCTTAGCCTAGCCATCAAACAAGGGGTGTGTCATGTGCGAAGAATTTGAATAGAAAATTTAAAAAATTGCAATCAGATAGCGGTTTTTGACTAAATTTAATACAAATTGTCATTTTCTCGGCTTCCTAATATAAAAAGAATTCATAAAGATATTTACTTCCAAAGTTCCAAGCAACATGACAACTTGTCAAACCCATGTGTGGCCCTAGACCATGACCGTTTTGTTCACTTTAATCAAAATGGTTGCGAAAATTGATTACCACTATTCAAATGCAAATCTTGCAGACGGGTATTAGGTCAATTAACCAGATTAATCAAATTTTCTTTTATGTACTCGAGTTCGAATCACTCTCCTTGTAAATTAGACTAATTAGTTTTTATGTTTCTTTTGTTTACCCTTTCTTTTGTGATTACAGTCAGTGCCACTCTACCTCTCTGAGATGGCACCCTACAAATTCAGGGGAGCTCTCAACATTGGCTTCCAGCTATCAATCACAATTGGTATCCTTGTGGCCAATGTGCTGAACTACTTCTTTGCCAAGATCAAGGGTGGCTGGGGATGGAGATTGAGCTTGGGCGGCGCGATGGTGCCCGCCCTTATCATCACAATCGGCTCACTTGTCCTGCCAGACACTCCCAACTCCATGATTGAGCGCGGCCAGCACGACGAAGCCAAGGCCAAGCTTCAGCGCATTCGCGGCGTTGATGATGTTAGCGAGGAATTCAGTGACCTAGTTGCCGCCAGTGATGCCGCGAACCAAATTGAGGACCCGTGGAGAAACTTGTTGAGGAGGAAGTACAGACCTCACCTCTGCATGGCAATACTCATTCCTTTCTTTCAGCAGCTCACCGGCATTAATGTGATCATGTTCTACGCGCCGGTTTTGTTCAACACGATCGGGTTTGGATCTGATGCCTCGCTCATGTCAGCTGTGATCACCGGCAGTGTTAATGTTCTTGCAACTATGGTCTCAATCTACGGTGTTGACAAGTGGGGAAGAAGGTTCCTTTTCCTTGAGGGTGGAGCTCAAATGTTAATTTGCCAGGTAAAGAACCAACTGACAATATATGTCATCGACTAATATATATCGATATCATTGTTGTCAACAAAATATATTGACATGTTACTGCTACGTTTTTTATAAAATTGATACAATATAAGTCCCTTATGGACGTCCTGCGCAGAGAATTTTTTGATGATTTAGTCAATTGAGTTTCATTGTGTGTTTGTTTTAATTTCAGGCAGTTGTGGCAACATGCATTGGTGCAAAGTTTGGAGTAAATGGGACCCCTGGAGAATTGCCAAAGTGGTATGCAATTGTGGTGGTGTTGTTCATCTGCACATATGTTGCAGGATTCGCATGGTCATGGGGTCCCCTCGGATGGCTAGTCCCGAGTGAAATCTTCCCGTTGGAAATCCGATCAGCCGCACAGAGCGTCAACGTTTCAGTCAACATGATCTTCACCTTCATTGTGGCTCAAATCTTCCTGACAATGCTCTGCCACTTGAAGTTTGGGCTCTTCATTTTCTTTGCGTTCTTTGTGTTTGTGATGTCAATCTTCGTTTACTACTTCTTGCCTGAGACGAAGGGGATTCCGATCGAAGAAATGGGCCAAGTGTGGAGGTCACATTGGTACTGGAAGAGATTCGTGAGTGCTGAAGAGGGAGGAGGTTATGAGATGCAGAAGGCAGCTCAAACTGTCAAAAATGTGTAATTCGGGTGATGGGCAAATATACGCCTCATTAACTTTTATTTTTATTTTTGTAGCAGTGAATATTATTGTTCCCATCGGCAAGGGTGATATAAAATTATTGTGCATTTATGTCCAATTTAGTTTTGCTATAAGGTTTTTTTACTGATATTTTACTCTAATTTAGAGTATGAAAAATAATATTCGAATTTAAATATAGAAAACAAACACATTGCTATAACTAACGTAGTCCGCTTGTGTTTGCATCTTATTGGGTGGTGATTTCTGCACTATAAGCCAACGGCCAATGCCAAGCTGAAGGATTCGGATATTCGGACCATTCATTTTAAATCTCTAGTTATCATTAGTTTATTCCACTAGCTCACCTACACAACCAAACGTCTGAATCTCTCTTTCTTTTTCTTCAATGGTCTGGATCTTTGGGTCCTTAAAATCTAGACGCAGAGATCCAAAGAGGATGTAGACTAAAAGAAAACAGCAATTCATACTTGAATAAATAATAACAAAAGGAGGCAAAAATAATGACTTGCAAAAGGCAACCACATAATTAAAAAAGAGAAAAGGAATTCAATTTGTGAGGGAAGGAGTATCCATGAAGTCAGGAGCAGAAAGTTGAAATTCAATTTCTTGATGAGCACCAATTATTGGTGGATCCACTTAATCAAAAGAGATTCGTATTTGGGTCTTACAAGGGCAAGAGACATCTTGATTAGGACCATCTATTTTCCATTTTATTTTTGGATTGGTAATTAGGACCATGTTGAGTGAGATTTTATTTCCTTAGCATTATTTTTCGTTTGAAAATTTGGTATCTTTAGTATTATTTGTACTTTATTTATATATTGGTCAGGATCTAAGCTAGCTTATACAATGAATTAATCGTAATCAAGTATTGAACTAGTTGCTTATAAACTTTACATAGGATTTCGCACTTACAAGTCAAAACTTAAAGTTGTAAAAATTCAAGTAATAAGGAGTTTTGTCCGTTTAATATAGTAGTTGCACATAGTACTCTATCTAAATTAATGAAAACATACAAGTGTTAGATATAAATTCGAATTGGGGTGTGATATCCACACACCCCTTTTTACTTCTCTCACACCCTTTTAATTTTCGGCCGTCGGATCAGATGAATTAAAGAAGATCAAAGGACAAAAATTAACAAAGGGTGTGGGAGAAATAAAAAAAGGTATATGGACATCACACATCATTCGAATTACTTGGGTACTCACGAGTCGGTACCCAAATTTACCGACCTTTAACATATGTAATAAGATGAAGACAAGTAATTTTAAAGACTCATTATTCTTGAAACCAAACACCAATCTTCTCTCTCAATCCACTCGCCAACAAGTTATTGATAAATAGTTGTAATGGCGCATATTGGGTTAAACAATCATTTGTGTGGAAAATTCGAAGTTTATGATAATGTTATTTACATACACTTTTTTATCTTTGCACATTCTTGTTAATTTTTATCCATTAATCTTCTTCAATTTTTTCGATCTGACGATAAAAAATTAAGAAGAGTATGTGATAAATAAAAATACGTGTGTAAATAGCATCATACTAAGTTTATGGGATCGAAGGGAAACTAAATTCAACAACCAAATGAACATTTTCATCACTCTCCTAACTTTATTTCAAGTGGGGAGGTGGGCATCAAATGTCACACATGCTTTTGGTTTTGGTATATTTTTTTTTTCCGCAGTGTAATGATGGGGTTGCGGGAAACTTTTGGTATTGTCACAAAACTTGAATGTGAATCCAAAGAGATAAATCTTGTACGAATTACTACATGTCACATGCCAAAATCTTGCAGCAACAAAAGGAGAGGTGTGCGGGAGGTGTTTGTCAATTTGGTCACGGCCTTGCGATGAATCAAAAGAAGAATCGCATGACTTAGATTTTGAAATGGATATGTTTTTGGATAGAAACTTGGGTATCATATGCTAACTAGCTATATCATTGTTTCAAAAGCACTTTTATACCAAAGCACTTTTTAGAAGAATTTTTCATAAGCTTTTTGAGGGCGAGCCTTGTCACAGCAAAAATGTCGCTTTTTTGTGACCGAAAGGTCACAGATTCGAGTTGTGGAAATAACATCTTTGCAATGTAAGAATAAGACTATATATGATAGACGTTCCCGAGCCTCACAAAGCGGGAAGCCTTGTTGGTTTTGGGGTTGTCCTTTATTTTTCATAGGCATTTTTGTTGTTGGATGTATAAAGTTTGGGCTTCCTGTTAAGATTTGTATATCAATTCTTGATAGTTTAGTAAACATTTTATTTTGATTCAACTTCTTTTTCAATTTGATTTATAATAGTCGGTAAACACTTTAATAAAAATGACTCTTTTCCAATTCATGCTCACTTCAATTCATTCATAACTCGATGATGCTATGTCTGGGTCTTCCTTATTTTAATTACAAACACGTAAACATGTCCTTAAAGGATAAACCCTAGTATGCGGCATGTCTCACCTTTTGTGCGAGGGGTGCGGCATGCAGACGCTCGTACTCAAGAACTTCTCTTTGACGTTGAAGAATATATAACAAAAACACGGTAAAACAACTCGGAAGTCTTTGAGTTGAGTTTAATATATAAGGTCCAAAATCACTTGAAAATTAATGGGCAACAACAAATACATGGTGACCAGATTAATACATATTACTTTCTGGTCTCTCCTTATTCATCATCGTGCATGAACTCTGCAATATTTGAGAGCAGTTGGGCATGCAGCTTCTTAACTGAGTGATCCATTAAGGCAGAGCCATTGGCCGATGAAGAGTCTCGTGCAGTTGAGATTAGGGTTGATTGACTCAAAGAAGGCAGTAGACAAGTTGAAGGTCTGCTCAACCCCAAAACAAGTGTCTCCGCTTTTTACACCGTAGGTTTTATCACACTTTAGGGTGGGAGGCGGCTTCAAGAACCCATGTCCTTATTCAAAATACAAAAAACAAATGCATGTCAATACAGAGTCGTTAAATTTCATTAAATTAAATTATCTAACCGTTGCCATTCAGATGTGTAACTTGTTTGTGCAATTTTGATATGCACTAGAGAAAGCCTCATATAAACTTTAACAACATAAAATTGATAGGATTTTACCGACTATATGTTGTTATTTCTCTCCCTAAAAATTTATTTCGACCAATTTCCCCTTAAAGTCTAAAGCTATTTACAAATTTGCCATCTTCCCCTTTTGACCCTGTTTCAAAAATAATAATCTAATTGTTTTTAAAAATATCACTTTTCATTGTTTTCAAGAAAGAAAAAAATATTAAAATGAAAAATAACAAATAACAATTAAGGACAGATATGCAAATTTTTTGGACGAAAATTGGATAGAGAGTGTAATTATAAGGATGGGGAGACATTGGTCATTTACAATAGTTTGGTAGGGAAATTGGCCAAAATAAAAATTTAGAGAGAAAATCGATAATAAGGTACAGGTTTCGGGAAGAAATGAGAAAAATTCATTTTTACCGAGAAATTGGCCGTCAGCAAAAGCAATGAGGAGGAGAAGAGAGAGCACCGAAACCAAGTTCACAATCTTAGCCATCCTAAGTTCTTTCTTCCTTTGTTTTGCCATCCTAATTGAGTTTCTACTATTTATAGTGTAAAAAACGTGGGAAAAGAAGCCAAGAAGGTTGTTCATATCCGAGCCTCGGACAAAATGGCCAGCTCTGTATGCGTTGGACGTTGCTTCCGCTGCTCTGCATATATACATTATCATTTAAGCGGATTATACTATACAAAGTAGCTATGTTACACTTTGGTTTTTTTTTTAATTTTATTTTATTTTTAATTTTTTTAAGTACATCGATATTTTTATACTAAGGAGAGAGAAAGTTTGCTAAGCTACAAAATGGACAGCCTAATTTGGTATCAAATTTGTTATCCAAGAGATTCGAATATAAGATCTCTCACTTCCAAGTGAAAAGAAATATTACCAGACCGTAGTACTGAGTGATTGGTTTTTCATCTTTTAACCAACTCTGTGATACGTTTTTTCCTTGTCCGATTACAGTTATCAATTATCAATTACATAATAGGCAATCAATAACAATTACGGAGAAGAATCCGGAGTCAACGGCTCAATTCTAACACTCCCACAAACTGGACGGTCGAGATCATATGAGTTTGGAACGAAGAGTACCATGGCGTGGCTGATGAATGGCTTTGGTAAGAAGGTCAGCAAGTTGATCAGCGAATGAAATATAGCACACACTGTGACTACCAAGAGCCATTTTTTCATGGACAAAGTGACACTCAAGTTCAATATGACTAGTGCGAGCATGATGAACATGATTAGCAGCAAGATAAGTGGCATTTAGGTTGTCACAATGCAGCAAAATAGGGAAGCGCAAGTGTGCACCAAGCTCACCAAGAAGAAATCATAGCCAAGTGGTCTCAGCACAAGCACAAGCTAGAGACAGGTACTCGGATTCAGCACTAGAGCGGGCAACTATTGGTTGCTTTTTGGAACACCAAGAGATAAGATTAGTGCCGAAATAGACTAAATAACTAGATGGTGAACGCCGAGTGTCTGGACAACCTGCCGAATCAGCATCGGAATAAGCAAATAGTGAAGCAAATGACAACTGAGGAGTGAGAGTGATGTCAATTCCGTTGTTACTCCGAAGATTGAAACAGCTTCTGTATGTTGCTCAATTTTGTTCAAACGGTATAAAATCTGTTGCTCATCGCACAAGTCAATGCACATCTTCAAACTTAAGCAGCGGCTGCGGCCACCCTATTTGAAGAGTGGCAGCACCAGCTGTAAACCAGCCTCAGGTGGAGGAAAGTAGAAGTGCACAAGGCCGGCTTCCATGCCTATTTTGGTACTTGATCGGCACTTTTATACCTTTCCCTTGCATGTATTAACTGTGTCTAATTTTGACACACTAATTACAGAAAAGGGAGGTGGCATCATGTTGCCAATCCAACTGTAATATCACTTTGTGTCCGAAGCCCGCAGACCGAGAGATTCTAGCCATTCAAGAGAGAGAGAGATTTGAGTCGTTCAAGTTTTTGAATTTTTGGTGAAGTAAACCAGTGAAATGAACTAATAAGAGCTGTAGAATTGAAATTGAGTGATCCAGATCTCCCGATTCTTAGGCTTCGGACGAATAGATTCAAAATAAATCTTAATCCATGTTGAGAAATGCTAAAATTTTATCTTCGGTAAATGCCACATCACACAACTAAGACGAGTTTTATTCTCGAAAGAGAAACAAAATCGCGTTATCTACATACATATCATTCATCATTGTGACTAACTTAGCCAAGTTCAGAGTACTCTCAAATTACAAGAGACTCTCCACTTCAAATTGTCTTCTTTTTTTACATCAATGTATAACGTTGGACCGTCCTCATCCTTTTTGTACCCTTTTCAATACCACATCCTTCACATTACCGAAAGATGCAAATAAACGATGGTTACAAATGATACACCGAAGTAGACTATCGCTTCTCACTCACATCAGAAAAAGCCACCCGAAACAAATGCTCATGGGGAGTCCACGCCATCAACTTGCTGCCGGGCGAGATATCTTTCCCTCCTCTCCTTCTAAACAAGACACAAAGGGCAAAAATGAATGAAGCACGTAAGAAGGTATTCATTGCACAAGCAATTTTCGTGTGACAACAGAACAATGCACTCACCCATTCATCTATGACAAGTCCTTCTCCAATAATCTTTGGACCAGCTTCTTCCGCAGGTTTCTTGCGTGCCTCCAGCGCAGCATCGGCATCAGCCAACTGGCGCTTCAGTTTTTCCATAGCCTTTGAAGAAACAAAAAAGTTTTAATCTCTTAACATAAATGCGAACAGAAAACCATACAGGTCCGTGATATACATTTACAAACACAAATATTGACATCAGGTTAATTTCATGTCAACCGCACTTACAGGAGTAGAACGCTCTGGATCTAGAAAGACAACCCGTAGTATCTGCTCTACGGCCACTTGGTCCTTTTGCTCATCAAACTGTCACCAAAAAATAATTTGAAAATTAATATTTAAACACGGCATACAAATAAATTTTATATTAAAAATTCCACTAATGAACACGTTTATAAGACCAGCTACTAAATTAGGATTTTATAACTTGAGATAGCATTTAAATTTTGCATGCTATTTACGCACCAGCTCAGGTACATATTCCATTGGTCCCTTCACCTTCAAGCTCATGATTTTAAACTTAACTCTGCTCTTTTGATCCACTAGTTTTTCATTCTTCTCGGGGGCCTCGACAAACTTGAATACTATCATAACAAACCAAAATAACAAAAAAATCTCGTTAAAAGGCCAACACAAGTTAAAGCTTGAGAAGACAAAACTATCGGAATAAAAACACAAGTTAAAGCTTGAGAAGACAAAACTATCTGAATAAAAACGATGGTACTTTTAAGTTCATGAGACATAATTCCATTAAAGAAAAACAGAAACCCGTATAAATGGGCAATACCGTTTCCAACACTATATCATAAAGGGAAATGAATTGAATTGCACAAAGTTATACAGAAACCGTTACCAGTTGCTATAAGACTCTCGCCTGGACTAAGAATAGCTCCTGGAGGACGCATGAAACAACTTTTCGGTGCAGTTGTTTGGAACTAAAGCAAGTAAGCAAGAAAACTCGTTAGAAAAAATCAATCAGGATAAGAAACTCTAACAATATCAACCACATTAGTGTTCACCAAACATTCTCAAATTACAAACCACATAACAGAAGTAAAATCGTAAACACGTAACGGTACCTTGAATGCTACAAAGGACTTGCTGGTGTTTTTAATTCTAATGGCACTCCTAACCTGCTTTCCGGGTTCACCTTCAAGAAACAGAGTCCATACACATAAATAAGCAAATGAATCGTCAGGCAACAAACCCAATACCGAAATAAATCGGCAAACTAATTTGATTTCCCTATATAGCCACTAACTCGTTCGAAAAAATCGTGACAGCAACACGAAAATCATCGATTGCATCCATAAAACACGGATTAATCACCGTATTATCGACATGATTAGCTTAATAACACGAATTGCAACTTGCAAATGCATTTTTACAGTTTCCTTGATCCTAAAATCAGCAACAACATCTAAAATCCAGACGCAATTCTATAAATCCACAACAATCATTCACAATCTACATATAACATACCAAAAATAGAAGAAGGAAAAGTAAATTAAATTAATTAAAAGATAACTAAATAAGGAGACGTACAGGGAAAATAGAGTTTATTGTTGGGATCGAGCTTGAGTCTACGGCGAGTCGGAAGCAGCGACCTGGCGACGGACGACACCGAATTCGCGGCGTTTTGATTCGATCCGTCGCCCTGGGCGTTACTATGGTGGTGGGGAGCGTTGTGCGACGACGAGGACGACGTCGTAACGGCGGCGTTCCTCGACGTCCGAAACGGTCGCTTGAAGAAGCCCCAGACTTTTCCGTCGGACGAAGACGAAGACGACGACGACGACTTTTGGTCAGCGATGGCCATCTCTCAGAGCATTAGACAGAGGCGAAACGGCGTCGTTTGTCTCAATGTCTCTGCGCAGTGCGGAGCAAATCGGAACCGACGGAGAGGATTCAATTGGATTTGACCGTATGAGTTCACGCCCGACCTTTTCGTGCTTCACCTCTGTGGCGTCCGTCTGTCCTCCTCCTTTCGTACTTTTCTACTTCGACGTGAGTAAAACGACGTCGTACCGCGGACACCGAATGGTTTTTAGCTTTTTGTGAAAGCAAATCAATGGCTTGGATTCTGGCTAAGTCTGGCTCGCGAAAGACAAACCGTTGACGTGAGGTTGTTCAGTTGACTTTGGGTAAACTACGTGCCCAAGAGATAAACTTACTTATTGCAATGTTTCTGTGAATCGGTGATTAGGAAATGCCGAAACACCTCTGTCGGTTTTTTTTATTTTCGAAAAAATAAATTACCATAACGAAATCATCAGCTGATTTATATATATATATATATATCAAATGCTTTTACGAGAGCTAGATCCACTTGAAGTGTGTGATTCATATTATGTGCAAAACAATATGAAAATATACTTACTCAAGAAATTTAAGAAAATCTTTCCACAGGCTCTGCAAGTACCAACTATGCCCACCCTTGATAAATCATCAAATGGGCATTGAAGATTAGAGACGATAAATTTTTTATTGTAACCGGAACACAGATGGTACAATACGACTACGTGTTTTTATATAAGTGGTGAAATTTTTTATTTTTTAAGTTATTAACTTTTTAACTTTTTAACACACATATCTCACAATTTATATAATAACATGTTGTGTAGCAACCCATGTTCTAATCTAATCACACCGATAAATCTCTTATTTAAATACAAGAAGCCGAGCAAGCGGATTGGTTGGAATGAAGAGGAAGAAAAAAAGAATTGTTACAAGGTGATGTCATTGTACTGATAACATGGTCGAACAATCGCACTCATTAGGAGCGAGTCTCATTGTGTTTTCCTTAACAGTGAGTTTTAGCGAATACTTTAATCAAATTAATTTCTTATTTGTCTAACAAATCGTTGAAAGTGTTTTTAACTAATTTAATCTTAGTGTGGAATGTGAACACGAGAAATTTTTTGCTGATGTCAGTGATCACCACCAAGTTATTGCAATGGACAAGAATTGTCTGTCCTCCCACTTCTGATGTTCTCCCGTGCCCTCTGTTTATATGGTCACGGTTAAATCACGTCAACATTTTATATTACTATTTATTTTTGTCTTATTATCTTTATAAAAAAATATATAAAATATTGACGTGGCTTAACCGTGATCATACAAAATAGAAAGACGCAGAGGGAAGACAATCCTTGTCCTATTGCAATTTTCATTATTTTCCTGCAAGCTGACGTAACAACGATTTGAATATTCCTTTTTCCTTTTAATTTAATTTAATATTTTTTGTTACTAAAAGATTGCAGTCAATCAATGCTTAATTGGAGGCGATACTTGTTCAGGTAATGGTACCAAATATATAATCATTGAATGTACTAATAGCAACATTCCACCTACTAAGCCCACAACAAAGTTAAAATCTACATGCTTTGCCCATCCCTAATTATGATAGTACTGCCTGTATTCACGGTGATTTATTATGGGGTTTGCTATCCACACACCTCATTTTACTTCTCACACACCCCTTGATAGTTTATGTCCGTTGATCTTCTTCAATTCATCCGATCTGACGGGCGAAAATTAAAAAGGTGTGTGAGAAGTAAAATGAGGTGTGTGGATATCACACCCCTTTATTATACATTTATGTGTAGAACCTCAACTCGAATCTTCGAATGATTACCCTTGTTAACCCTTGTTGGTTTTTTTTCCGAATTCGCCTTTGGTGGTGATGTTGCTCATGGGATCTTGCTTCTTGCAAGCTTCCTTTGTTTCGTGGCGACATTCAGTGTGGTGGTTATTGGAGGATAATGTGACATTTTTCTTCGCCAACTATTAATTTGTCTGGTCTGACATTAAATACCAATTTTATTCATTAAAGCGGCCACTTACGAATGGTGCTAGCATAAATCTCGTTGTAACTGCATAATTTCGTTAGAAATATTAGCCTCCATGATTAAGACTTGAAGCGAGATGAATAGGTCATATATTCCATACCAAATACGCGTTGAGTCGCCATGCCGATGAAACCAACCTCATCCATTATTCAAACCACAGAATGTTTTCGTTGACTAAACTAATCAAAGGTTAAGTATTAAAATTCACAAAAAAAAACTAAACCATTTGCTTCTCAATCCCCAAAGCGTGACAAAAGCAAGATAGAAGATACGGTCCAATTTAGTTTGGTTTTTATAAACATGTATTTGTCGATTTTCTCCCGAACTTGTAAGGAGTTGTCGATTTCTCTCATGAACTTTAATTTTAACCAATTACCTCATAAACTTTTATAATTGGTCAATTTTCTTCTCAATTTTAATTTTAGTTGATTACCCCTCTGAACTTTAATAATTATAAAAAGATAAAGGTAATTTTATCCCTAATGTGGACAACATATTGTTTTTTTTCTTCTTCTTCTCGTCCGCTAGTTCACTTCGGATACTTTTTGTTTGAATTTTAGGGATAAAAGAGAAATCGGCCAATTATAAAATTCAAAGAGGTAAACTAAAATTCATAGAAAAATTAACCAATTATAAAAGTTTAGAGAGTAAATCAGCTAAAATTAAAATTATAGAGAGAAATTAACAATTCCTTACAAATTTGAAGACGGAAAAATTGGCCAATACTTCTTCTATAAAAGGTATAACCAAACCAAGCCAGCTTAATAGTTCTGTTCTACTAGGTAAGAGACAGAATGTCATTTGGCCGGTTCAAAATATTCAGCCGGTTTTTGGTCCACCCCTAGTTCATCCGGATTAAAAATTACATGTAGTTTCACAAAATCTTTGGCTCATGATATTAAATATTGTAAATATACCATCTTACAAGTAGGGATGGGCAATGGTTATGGCGGGCAGGTAATCGCAGTTATTTATCCATAACGTTTATTCTCATACCCGCATAACCGTTTACTTGTTGTGTAATTGCTTAAACGGTTATACTCATACCTATAACCGTTTATAAACGGTTAACCATACCTATAACCGCATACCCATTTAACCGTAACTGTTTAGTATCCGTTTACCCATTTATCCTTTTTCTTTTTACCATTTACTCATTTTTCATTCGTCTACATGTTTTTTTAACAACTTGAAAATTAAAAAAGAAAAATTTGTCATAATTTTATTTTTCTAACAATTAAACACCGTTATAGGTACATTCATCATACATTTCCGCATTTTAATTTTTTTTAAGTCCTTATATCATTCTAATAATTAAAATAATAGTTTGTGGATGATATTTTTAACTGTTAACAATGAAGGTAATATAAAATTTGCTAAGTATTATTGGGCTACAAAAACTGTTAAAAGACAATATTCTTGAATTATTTAACTCAAAATGTAAAATATTAACATAATATATATAATCAACCATGAAATCATCTTAGTCCTTGCTTTTCCCCGTAGTGGAAGTAAGCTGAAGTCTTATAAAAAAGCAGTCAAAGTGGTTATCATTTACTTGGACTTTTTCCTTCTCATGTTTGAATTTTCAAGAACCAGAAACCGTGGTGTAAGTTCCTCCTATGATGCTATTCTTCGATAAATTGTGTTCTCTGCAACAAATGGAACTCACCACCTTCACAACTCAACACCCATCTCTTTCTTTCTGCTTCTCTCTCTAGTTATATAGTTAACCAGATCAGGAATGGGGGTTTTGGTTTTGAAATTGATCTTAATATACTTGCTTTTCAGTGCAGTGTTCGTTTGTTGTTGGAGCTCTCTGCAATGGGGACTCGGAGGGAATGCGATGGATAGGCTGGCTCTGCTTGCCATCAAAGCTCAAATAAAGCAAGATCTCCATAATTACAACGTGATGAGCTCCTGGAACGAATCCACGCACTTTTGCATGTGGCATGGTGTGACGTGCAGTCGACGACATCACCAAAGGGTCACTAAGCTGGACCTGCAATCTCAAAATCTGGTAGGGAAATTATCCCCAAACATAGGAAATCTGAGTTTTCTAAGAGAGCTGTGGCTGCAAAACAACAGCTTTAGTCAAGAAATTCCTCCGCAAATTGGGAATTTGCGTAGATTGCAAGTATTGCGATTAGATCTGAACTCATTTAGTGGCAGTATTCCACACAATATATCATATTGCTTCAACCTTATCCTTGTGAATTTCACTCGCAACAAGTTGGTGGGTAAAATTCCTTCAGAAATTGGATTGCTGTCGAAACTGCAAAAAATTTCATTACAAGATACTACTGTAACGGGACAGGTCCCTCCTTCCTTGGGGAACCTTTCGTCTCTCCAATTACTAGCTCTTGGTAGTAATGACTTGATGGGCAACATCCCCAGTTCTCTTGGCCAATTGAAAAAATTAGCCATCTTGGGATTGGCGATAAATCAGTTGTCTGGTAGCATCCCTTCCTCAATTTATAACCTCTCTTCTCTTGTTACATTTTCCATGCCATTTAACCAATTTGAAGGGAGTATTCCATCAGATATTGGCAAAACTCTTCCTAATCTCGAAGTCTTCAACGTCAACTCAAACCAACTCACTGGGTCCATACCTTCCTCAATATTCAACGTCACAAGTGTTTGGTATTTTGATGTTGGGCATAACAACCTAATCGGACGGGTACCGAATCTCCAAAAGCTTCACAACCTCGTGCAGTTCAACATTCAATATAACAATATTGGAAGCGGTAAAGATGGTGACTTAAGTTTTCTCTCGGACTTGACCAATGCCACCCAGTTACAAAGGCTGGGTATTAGCAGCAACAATTTTGGAGGGACATTGCCCATGTCAATAGCCAATCTCTCAACCAAACTCGAATGGTTTTGGGTTCAACATAACCAAATATGGAAGCATCCCATCTGGGATAGGGAATCTGGTGAGCTTGGAAAGGTTGCTTTGGGGGAATAATAGCTTCACAGGTAACATCCCCTCTGACATGGGTAAGCTTTCAAACCTTGGATCATTAGAAATTTTCATGAACAAATTATCAGGAAATATTCCGTCTTCCTTAAGAAATTTAACCAAGTTATACCATCTTGAGTTGGATGGAAATTATCTTGAGGGCCCCATTCCTTCAGGTCTGGGGGAATGCCATGGGTTGCAATTGTTGG